CAAAACTGTAATACTTTGATTTACTCACAATAGAAAGGAATTCCCAGACTTGGTTAGTAAAAACAATGCGTGTATACAGAAAGACGGGAAGTGGATTGTTTTCCCCACGTACTTTAGAAGTCCTGATGCCCTCCAATATACGGTAGCGACTGTAGAGTTTTGCATTTGGAGATAATTTCAATTCACTCCTCAGATAGATCGATGGGTAAAGGGCAGTGCTTTCTTTCCATATCCAGCCAAGATCATTATTTCTGTCTATTTCTATACTAGGACATTTTCCATCATAGCCTGGCTCTAAATAATTATTATTATAACAATCAGGAAAAAGATAAAACCCCCATAAGTATCGAGGCTTAAGTCTTTTACCCAGTTTTAATGTCTCTTCCATGAACTTTCTTGCTGCCTTTTCAAATTCCTCTTTGGCTTTCTTGGTGGCTTGTGCAGTGTTCATACCTGGATCTTGGGTCTTTACCAACTGAATAGACTTATTCCTATAAATATCCTTGGGTGTCCAGTTTCGTGCCCAGGTAGGCCTCCATTCTTCCCAGTCAATGATAGCTAAGCCCAATTGGTCTACTGGAATATAATGCTCAATGTCAGTCTTAACTTTGTCCAAATGCTCTTGCAAATTTCCTGCCTGAGGTATTCCTCCAAACACTTCTGCTTGTTTCTTATCTATATATGGATACTTTCCAAGTCGGTTAGCATAAAATATTGTGACAGCCTGCCCTGTGGCAGTTTTTCGGGGACTTCCGATTAAAGGGAAGAGGCTTAAATCTATTGAGTGATTAAATGCTCCAATACAAGCTTCAGTTGGGACATTCCAGATCCAAAGGAAAGTCTCATTTGGCAAAATTGGTGCCGCCCTATAATCCACCACAGTCAAGGAGCATGGAATCAGAAGGAAGATTATTAACACTGACTGGAATGTTCCCCCAGACTCAACAAAGCTCCCCCAATAGAGGTGCTTAAACCTCAACCCTCCCATTGGAGAGAGCAGTTACTGTGTAAACACTTATTTCTTGTTGCACACTTAGGTTTGTCCAGTATTTGATGCAAATGATGAGGAAGAGAGTTACATGTGGTCACCCTGAGAGACGACAGTAGGGTGGCTGCTTTCTATTGAAGATTGTTCGTCTTGTGTCACGTTTCAGGAATGTTTTACAGCAAGTTCAATCATCCAGAACTGAAAAAAAGACAAATATGGAATTCACTGTTCACTGTAGCAGAGATGAGAGCTTTACCAATTCCTCAAAGTTTTATGCAGAGAACTTAACTCAGTTTCAAAGGATAGAAGGTCTACTATCGTGTTTAAAGCAATAAGATTTTTTTTCTCTTCTGTATGATACAAAATCTGTAACAGTCAACATTAATCTTCTAAAATCACCCCTGATCTGACACAGAACTGACTGTAACTATTTTCTCTTTCATTATGTATATAAAATATTGTATCTAGCAATGCTTTAGCAAAAACCAGTTGAATAAACATAAATTCTTGCTTAAATTCTTAACAAAAAAAAACCACTGTGTAATGATCTACTAAATTTTAAAAATAACCTTTCACAGAATTAAAAAACTTTTCAGATATGAAAGGAATTATTTTTAACTTTGGAAATCATAATAATCAATGCATACACTTAGACTGAGGAAATCTCTTGAAGTCAGCCATAAAAACATATACACCCAAACAACAAAAATGGACCCAGGAAGTTGTATTTATGTGTACAGCATAATAATCAAAGAAAAAGAGGCTACCAAATTGAAAATGACGGGAGACATGGTAGTAGTCGGGTTAGAGTATTTGGGAGAGACTGGAAGGAGAAAAGTGAAGGGGGGAAGTCATGTAATCTTTTAATTAAAAATCTATAAAAATTGGAGATCATGTATTACTAGCCCAATAATGCCAAAGAAATACCTACCAGGAGTCTTGATTTAGGAAATGCAGAGGTGTTTGGGGATAATACAAATAACCAAAGTCTCCTTCAAAGACTGAGAGTCAATTTAAAAAAAATGAAAGAGCAGAAACTACTATTTTTTTCCACATGGAGAGTTATTATAATAGAAAGATGAAGAGAATGATAGGAAAGAAGGAGACAAGGAAGAAAGAGCGAGGAGAAACTTCTTTAGCAGAATTTATTTCAATTTGTAGAAATTTAGGAAAACCCATACAGTTGCCCCCTGACACACATATCATTGATTTAGGTTCTCACATCTCCAGGTGGAATAATCTAGATATGTTAGTTGGGAAAATTTTAAAAAAAAATTAATGCACTCTGAAGTATCAGATATTTGTGGAAGACATCACCACAAAATAAGGGTGGAACATCTGTATTTACAATTAAATCACCCCTTCATAGTACTCAAGAGATTGCTATGTTACTGTTTTAACCTCAAAAGTGATCATCAGTATTTTGTCAACAGAAAAACAGGACAGTGAATTTTCCCTTTTGCAGGAAGTTTTAGTCAGGCTCTCCATAATGCGAGCATTTTTGGACAAATCTAACTAGAAAGAATACTTCAAACCACAACCTAGATGTCACTTCCGCATCCCATTCATTGTAGGTAAAATTGAGCTAACTGCAATCATGATGACCCAAGAAAGTGACAGACTACTCATAGCACTTTGTCACACCTTGTCAGGGACATACCTGCCACAAATTCAGTCTAACAGTTGTAATGGGTAGTTCAATAATAATAATAATAACTGAAGTAGATTAAGGTGGAACAAGTTAGGATGAAATGGGCTAGAGTAGGAAGCACCAGAGTAGCAGGGCAAACAATAATGGTACTATTATATGGATGCTTTTTATTAGTCATTCTGTGTTGGGAAAACAAGGCTTCTGGCTTTTCCTCTGCCCTTGCACCACATGCAAGAGATACAAGACTTCTGGTTGGTCTCCCACTCTTGCTCTGTGACCTTTAGAGACATGGAGATCTCTCTCTAGGAAGAAAGCAATGAACTCCGAAGGGAACACTAAATGAGTGTCTTCTCATCTAATGTAATGTGACACCAGCTACCTAGAGATAGAGCCCACAGGCTGGCATCTCAGTCACCAGGTGGCCTCCTCCACTTCAGATGACAGTCACAAGATACAGGCAATTTTGATCAACCGGCTATGCAGGAGACTTCTTTTTTTTAATTTTATAATTACTTTAATTTTACATATCAGCCACAGGTTCCCCTGTCCTCCCTCCTCCTGCCCCCTGAGGCAGGAGACTTCTTACAGCCCTCTCCTTGTGTTTAACTTTTAAAGCAACCAGAAATCAAGCAAACAGGTTAAAGTGTTTGTCATAACAGATGCTACAAAAGATAGATGAAGAGGTACAAATGGTCAGATTGGGAGAAGCAGGAAAGAGCTTCACGTTCTTTCCATCCAGGACTCTTGATCTGCAGTCTGGAAGTCCCCCAAACTCTAGGGTTTTTTTTTTTATGTTTTTATAGAGATTTCATTGAATAGTCAGGATGCAAGCACTGGTAACTATGTCCAAATGAGATTATACAAAATAGAAATGATCAAATGCTTATAAACTGGCTTTGGGGGGGGGGGGTAGGAAAGGATTGTCATTCTGGTTGGCCTCTTGTAGAAACTTCTACCTTATGTAGTGTGGAACAGGACACTTATCAAAAGAAGATAGCCTTGTGATTTCTACTTAGGTAAAGGGAAGTCAGAGGACTTACTACCAGTTCAAGACAGAGCCCAAGGACAATTAGAACGCCTATGACTTAGAGCCAGAAGGAAGCTGTTAAGTGGGAGCTAAAGATGAAGTCCAAAATTTATGTTTTATAATGTCACAATTAGGTACACATTTGTATGTGTGCTGAGGTATTCATTTGTGTGTGCTGAGTAAAAGTATAAAATACATATTTATACTGTAGAATCAAACAGATTACTCTGATACACAAAAATTTGAAACATGATACATTTGAATTTGAACCCTAGAAGTCATTTTCTTATTAAGTGACCAAAGGCAAGTTACTTGTTTTCTATAATTTAATCTTTTCAACAACCAAAAGAAAAACCATTATTCAAAGAATTCCATAGTGTAAATATCTGAATCTACTGGACCAAACAAACATTTTAGATAGGACCACCAGACATACAGGGTGGTTCAGTCTCAGTGTTAGCTTACCAAAATTATTAAATTTCACTACTCTTTATGCTTACTTCCTTAATTAATTATAAAATACAGCAATAACTATTCATCTGGGACTGGTGGGATGTTTAGTAGTTAAAAGTATGTGCTACTCCCCCAGAGGACTCAAATTCAGTGTCCAGCTATTACATAAGATAGATCACAGTGGCCTATAACTTGAACTCCAGGGGATTCAATACCCTCCTTTCAGTCTACATAGGCACCCACACTCATATTTGTATATAGATCCAAAAGACGTGCATACACATAATTCAAAAATAAAAATAAATTATATAAAATAACTATTCATAGGTTCATTATGTCAATAAAATAATGTACATAAAACATTCAGCCTAATACCTATACAAGAGTTCAGAATACACTATCCTAAAATACAACGAACTAAAGAATAATAAGCAAAAGCACATGAGAGAAAACTCTCTGGTACACCCCAGAGCAAAACATCCATCCTGTAGAAGGTAAACTCCCTATTCTAAGGCCACATTTCATAATTGGAGACGGGGAGTGGATGTTAAAATCGGTACTGACGAACTTCAGCAGAGCCCTTACTGTCAACTAATCTCTGGACGTCTCCTGGTCATGTCCCCACACGTTACTTCCTCTAGAAGTTTTCACTGGTCTCATTTGTTTCCTCATAATTATTGTGCTTAAAAGGCCTGCTAGGACCTTGGTCACAGGCATTTCTTTGGAGCTTCATGAAGGTTTCCATGTACATGAGAAAAACACTAAATAATGTTTTAACTTTGCTCCTCTTTACATATTTATCAGTTCAATTCATCATGCTCCCCAGACACAGAACTTCAGACACAACATAAGGCTTGTTTCTTTTGCTTTGATCCTAGCAGAATGGGTTGCCATTGTCTGAGATAGAAGACTTACTCCACAGACTGCAGCAGACATTGTGGAGACATTAGAGTCAGCCAAAGGCAAGAGGTTGTTGCTACATCAGCCTCCCAGAGCTCTGCCTGTAGAGGAAGAACAATTAAAGCAACGCTGTCACTGGGGCATGCACACTTGCTGGAGAGGAAATTCACCCATTTGCTCTATCTGGTATGTGACTTTGGAGTCTAGTAATCATATCGGGAAACCTGTGGATTTTTGAGCTCTTCTGATATTCCAATTACAAATGGACATGTAATTGCTATGTGCTTCAAATCATGTTGGGCTAAGGTATGAGAGGTAATTGATTCTGCCCTAACATTCATATTCTGACCAAATCCTTACAACACCCACTAATTGTAACATAACTACATTTCTAGAGGTTACCACCACACCTGAGGGAATCCCCCAAGTCTCACACTGCCCTGAAGACACTCCACTTGATTTTATAAATGTGCCTTCCGTCCTGGGTAATTCCCACTCTATTCATTGTCTACATGTTTAGTGGATGGACTAAATACACATTCAGATAACCATGCTGACATTATTACAGTGAAATAATTTTAGCAACTGAGAGCATTCATCACTTTGGTATTTTTTATGGATTGAATTTGTTTAAAGGACTCATTTTTACCATGGATAAACCTCTTGCACCAAAAAAATCTGCGGTATTCATATTAATTTTATATCTTATAACAATGTGAATAATCAGGACAAGTAGGAAAGAAAATAGAAATTTTAGGTTTAAGAAACTCAAGAAATTAGACTTAAAAACTGAAATTATTACCTTAGCCCCTATAAAACTATTGACTTTAGTTATGAGGCATAATACTTCTGTGCTAGCTTTTAGCTATATTGACACTATCTGCAAACTTTTCATTCCTGGATTAAGAGGACTTTGCAGGAACTTGGGTGGATAATTTGATGCTGTGACTTATGAAGTTAGTGTGTGAGTGTGTGTGTGTGTGTGTGTGTGTGTGTGTGTGTGTGTGTGTGTGTGTGTGTATGACTTATATATAATAACTTTTTACTGGTAGACCTAGCACATATAATAGTGGAAAAAATATAGCCTTCGTTGAATGATAATTCTTTAATCACTTTCAACCAAGAGACAAGTGAATATCAAAAAGATTATGAAAAAAAAAAAAGCATGCACTGTTACCTTGCTGGAAAGAACCTTATAAACACCTGCCCACCATCTGTATCTCCTACATAACAAAAGAAACTCTTCTTAATTTATGTAAACCATAGCTAACCTAATCTACTCCAGCACTACTAGAACAGGGCAATGGGAAGACCATACCTACAAGTGACCTCACACTTTGGAATTCACAGCAAATTCCAAGGTCCTAGAAGAGATGACATCACAAAGTAGACAGATTCTCCCAAAATCACAAACCAAGATACTTTATTTCCCCGCTATATTCAGTTCTCCCATCCTTTAGGGAAGAAAATTCTTTTTAAATAAAAATTCCCTATTTTCCACTTTTGTTGAAAGCCTGACAGACAATTACCCATCTCAGTCTACTCAGCTTTCGATGTGTTCCACTATGGGTTCACTTTTCAGACATGTGGCTTTCCTAGTAACTTCATTTTTTCCCTAAGTCAAGCATGAAATTGACAAAACTACATCAGTTTCCAAAGCCCATACCCTATTAATTTATCAATTTGATAATAATTTCAGCTACTATGAAAAATATGTGAACTAGCTTTCAGCTCTAAGAAGGGGAACACATGAAAGACTTACTGTAGAATACCAAAAAAAATGAAACAAGATGGCGTAGAGCAACATCCCTCTATTTCTTTCATGAGATCTCTTCATGCCTTGGAAAAAGTCTGTGAAAGCTCAGCGACTATTCCTTGATCAGAGACAGTGTAAACACATTTCTCTCTTTTATTAAATATAGACAATCATGATGCTAGATTTTCCTTAGTTCAATGTTACAATTAAAACCTTGTGATTGGCTTCATAGGGAACTACCCCAACTTCTTGGTAAAAATCTTAAGTACCTCTAACATTGTTAGACCAAAAATCTGGACTGGACCAGAGCAGGGAAGTAACTCAATTTCCCCAGTTTTCTTCTGTGAATCTGTCACTTGTCAGTTCAGTTTACAGAAACAGAATTTTAAAGTAGTAGAGAGAAGTATGTTTTTTTTTTCTTATATTTGGTACCAAGAAAGCATTTAATAAATCTACATTGTTCCTAATTGTTGTTACCAGCAATATTTCCTTTGTCCCCACTCTTTTTTGCACGCATGAAAAGCAAAGTTTCCTTCAGAATGTTTTAAATTAAGCTATTTATGGTGAACCATAGAAATTTTTTTTTTGATGGGAATGAAACACTTCAAAAAAAGTCATGATGCTTACTTAGCCCAAGTGGTGGTTCTCAGGAACCTGAGAGGAACCTGCATGAAGAAATCTTCGTGTATCAGGATTCAATCAACATAGCAGACTACCTCATCCTCTAAGTGGATTGCTCCCAGTTGGCTACCTCTTAGCATCTATGAGAGAGAGCATGCTAGGACAGCATCAGATTGGAGGTTAGAATTTTGCTGCCTTTTCTCAATCCACCTGAAATGAATTTCTAGCTGGTAAAATGCAACGTATATAAAAGGTTTATATTCTTTTTTTAATAGATTATTGGAATAAGTTTCATTTTAATAAATAATATTAAAAACAAGAGCAAAATAGTACAGATGTAAAATTCATGTATTTTATAGTGGTGGGTCATTTTATATTGATCTAGCTAAACAACCTGTGAGACGATTAATATTGACTTTCGACTTTATAAGGTCTGGGACTATCTGGGAGACAACCCACTGGGAGTGACTGTGAGTGAACTTCATTGTCCCACAATAGTGCAGTTCCTTCAGGACAAAGATAGATTTGTGGATTTCCTTTCTTCCCTATCAGAATAATCATTGGTCTGCATGTATTGCCACTGGGAAAGAGTCCCAGAACATTAACTTATGAATTTTTTTAGTTATTCAAGACAGGACTTTTCTGTGTAGCCCTAGCCATCTTGGAATTCACTCTATAGACAAAGCTAGCCTTAAACTCAGAGATCCTCCTGCCTCTGTCTCCCGAGTACTGGGAATAGAATTAAAGGTATGTACCACCAGTGCCCAGGGTAGCATTAATTTCTAATTAATCTGCTTGTGCCTTTAAGGACATCTAACTACAAAAAGACACCTTTACAGCCTAGGACTGTAGTTCTCATCCTTCTAAATACTGCAACCCTTTAATCCAGTTCTTCATGTTGTAGTGGCCCCCAACCATATTTTGTTGCTACTTCATAACTGTAATTTTGCTGCCACTAAGAATTACAATGCAAATATCTGATATGCAACCCAAAGGGGTTGTGACCCATAGATTGAGAACCACTGACCTGGAGACACAGCTGTGAAATAGCTATCTCTTTGGTTACCTCATGTATAACTCACCAACTAACCTTTTAGGGTGTACCTAACTCTAAAAGGGGTAGATGTATATGCGATGCCAGCCTGATTTTGCCTGCCTGTACACCTACTCTAAGTCCTTTTCCTCAAAAAATCCAGACTCCAAAATCTTTCAGGGAAAGCATCTCATAGTGATTCTCCTGCCTCAGCTTTCTGAGGGCTGAGATTACAACTGTCAGCCTTTATACCCAACCTCTTAAAGACAGCCTTTCAGTGCTATGCTTTCATGCTCTACAATGAGAGAGGAGGGTGGGAACAGAGAGGGAGAGAGAGAGACAGAGAGACAGAGAGACAGAGACAGAGAGACAGAGACAGAGAGAGACAAAGAGACAGAGAGACAGAAACAGAGAGACACAGAGAGAGAGGGAGGAGGGAGGGAGGATGGGAGGGAGGGAGGGAGGGAGG